AAGGTGGATGAGCAAGACATTCCCTGCAAGACTCACAGAGCAGTAGGGGTTAGAAGGGTCCTCTAGTGATCACCTAGTCCAACCGCCCTGGCAGAGCAGGATCCCCTAGAGTAGGTCACACAGGAACAAGTCCAGGCAGCTTTGGAAAGTCTCCAGGGAAGGAGACTCCACCACCTCTCTGGACAGCCTGTTCAAGATGCTACAGAGAACCCTGCCTCAGGTACAGGCCTACACATCCCCAGAGGAGCTGGATTCAAGGTGTTCAGAGATCCCAAGCACTTCGCTTTGCATCTGGTTTTAAACTAGCATCACTTAAGTGTTTAAGTACATGGTGTAGTGCATTCTGTTCCCTGTTCTGACAGGCTCAAATCGCTGAAAGAATACAGAGGAATGTAAACCAGAGCGCCAGTTCCTCCCACAACTTAAGGAAGAGTCATTCTTTCTAACAAAAGTAAAAAGCTCAAATATTTCACTGATCCCCACTGCTTACCATTTGCACAAGACACTAGTCACCATTTTTCCTGAGTCTAAGTCAGAACAGTTGAACAACGAGGTTCTTTAAAGGAGGCACAGGGGGCAGAGATTTAGCTGTGTACAAATCAAGGGTCTAATGGGGAAGTGAACTTTGCCTAGTTGATCTGGACCATCCAGAAGAGGCCTCTGCCGTGCCTTGAGTGAGAATTTTCCACTGCAGAACACCTTCTGCTATTTAAGAAAGCATTTGCTGCAGCTCAGCATTAAGCAGGTAGCATGAGCAAAGGATGCTGAGAATTTATGTCTATCGATGTCTCATTTAGAGAACTACATTGCTTAATTCAGATTCAAAAATATCTCCAGAGGATCAAAAGAAGAAACCTGCAAAATTGAATCAGTAGAATAATGAAGTGTATTCCCTGGACAAACATTCCATAAACACATTTGGCCTATAGATAAACGAATCCGTCAGTAAATGCTTTTGTCAATACCCTGGATTTGTTGTATCTCCACATCTAAAATGCGCAGACAGAGCATACAACAGCAGGAAAACATTAAACCCACACGCTCAGACTTACAAAGCCCCTTCTATGTATATACACATAAAAACCAGAATGGTCAAGCCATCTGGGAAAACCAAGGTCACGCAGAAACCTTGAACAAAATTAGTAGAGCTGTACAATTGGAGACATTTTATGAGGTCTTCACAAAGGCAGTACTTAAAATGAACAAAACAGCTTCCCTTGAAAGGCAGCCTTTCCTAATACACCATAGCATGCAGTTAGATCTCTTCCCCATCAAACCTTTTCTCAAGAGGAATGTCTTGCACGAACACTGCTGATCTTTCCAAGAGAAGAAACAGCCCTGCTACTCCAACTTTCTCCTGACCAGCACTCGTGGAATACAACCAGCTCGGTTATTGGTGGCTGCAGGAATCATGCCACTAACAGTCCTTCACCATCTGGGGACAAAAAGCAGCCTAGCTAGGCTCTCTCGTACATGCTACAGGGCTAACAGCTACATTTCTCTACTCCTCATCATATCTATGCCTTCTACCACACACAAAAGATGGAGAAAATTTAGCTTCAAGGTAGTAGAAAGACCTGAAAAGTGGAAAATGTCATCTTCTCTCACACTAAGTCTAATCTGAGTAAGTTTGGCTACATACATTTCTGTAATAAAATTCTTTTCAGCAATAGAAGAGATGCGGGAACACAAGATTGCCCCGAGTTGTTGCAACAGACACAGCTTCAGACTGGGCACATAGAAAACTGCTCCTGCCTGCAGTGTTCTCAGTGGTAGGCAGACCAAATCCAGCCTCTGTGCCTGCAGTGCAACCCCCTCCACAGCAAAGCAGCCTCAGCCCCTGCCCAAAAATGCCCTGAATCACAAACTTGCCCATAGAGCAGCTCCTCACGCAGGAGGAGGTTAAAAATACAGCTTCAAAGAAACCAGATATCAAGGTGCAACTTGTCACAAGACACCAGATCAGCAATGAAGACAGAGGGAAGCCACTGCTAAACCTGCTTATCCCTGCTCAGTCTGAGGACAGACAATCTTTGGTATGAGACTGCAGAAGAGCAGAGAAAGGGGAAGGTGGAAGTGGTAATACAGCAAGCTAGCATCATCCCTAAGCTGGCTGCATCAGTTCGGTCCTGTTGTGGGCCTGGATGGAAGTAGTCCTGCACACTAATTGCTCTCATCAGCTCGTCTCCCCTCCTCTCCCCATCTGCCCCTTCAATCACAGCCATGGTGGGACCCCATTCACCTAAACACATACAAGGAATAAAACATCTAACAAAGGAAGAGTTACAGCTTCCCTCTCATCTCCCTCTTCCATCATTATTGCCACTGAAGGGCCATTTTATCACTTGCAGCTGTGGTCATTCAGCGACAACCTGCTGTGCTCAGAGGCAGATGAGACCTGCACATTTGATCTGCATTAAGCCTGTTTCATGGCTTCACATTTCTAGGTACATTCCTAACAGCAGCACCAACAACCAAATCTTTTCATCCCTCCAACTACTCAGTAGCTCCTGTGAAATCTGCCATTTATCTTTTCACATCAGGCTTTTTTTGGTTCAGCATCAGTTAAGCAATCTGTGCCCCAAATCTATCAGCCCCCAACAAGGGCCAGCGCTTCTCTGGCTCCTGCAGGACAACAGCAAAATCCCCATCTTTACAACAGCAATGTTTATTAGCAGAGCTGCTTTCCCTTCAGACACGAGGTGCAAATTAACCAGCTCTTCACACATACTAGCTAAGAAACACAGCACTTTGCTCCCAGTTGCAATAAGCCCTCGGTCATACCCATCTTCGGGGACTTTCAGAACAAGGCAGCTGTTCAGCCTTGTTTGGTTTAGGATGCTCGTTTGACACAAAGCAAAGGGCAGAGAAATGAAAGGCCTGAATGGCATCCTATAACTTTGTTGCAGAAGCTCCCAAATTTTTTTCCAAGATCCTAGAATAGGGCACAGTGAGCAAGTCTATCTGCCCACTAGAAAACCAAAGTCCTGCGGTGGATAGCGGTGAGGAGAGCAGGCATGGGGAAAGCAGTCAGTAGGGCTTCTGAAAAACCATGCCAAGCCAAACGATTTCCTTTGCAGGGAGACACAGCAGCCCTGAAGAGAACCTGCCTCCTGTAGCTCAACATATGCTGTCCCGTTCTGCTATCAACCTGAAGCAGCTTAGCTCCCCACAGTCCTGCCCGTTTCTTTTGGGGGTGCCAAAACATAAAGCAAACCCACAACTGCAATCTGTCCAGTTCCCCAGAGCAGGAGCAAACGTTTCCAGTCCCTCTCGCAGAGCTGTCTCTTCACGGAATCTCTCCCCCATAGGTGCTGGGCTCTTATATTTCATTTTCAGCCCTCTAGCAAGCAAGAAAACAAGGGAGTCTCCAGAAAACAAATACAGTTGGAAATGCCCAGATGATTAAAAACTAAAACTCCTACAGCAACCAGCTGGTGACCAGCTCAGCCTCTGCACCAGGAACATGTCAATTATAAATAATTAAGAGGTAATAGGAAGGAGACACTGAAGTATTAAGCAGATTTCTCTCCAGGTATCTAGAGGTTTCTATTGCTGCCAATCACACCCTTCAGATTATTGTCTTGTCTGTCAGTCATCCCAGGCCTTACATGAGCATGTGAGCTCAGGTTAACATTTGCAAGTAAACTAATTAAGCCCGGTTATGCCTCTGCACAGGAAAGCCAAAAATATCAGCAAAACCCAGCTCTAATTTTTAACTGACTTAGAAGTATAACCTCAAACTGCTGGAGAGTGAAAATTCACACAGGTCAGCTCTCGCCGTGCCAGGAACAGACACAGATGAAGAACAATTGCAAGAGCTGCATTTTGGACAGCCTTTCCTCTGCTTATGGTCTAGTCATCTACAGAATAGGATGCACCTGAGGATGCAGGGTTCAAAAGACAAACAGAAATAAGACTCTAGCTCCAACCCAAACAGATAATTTGCAACATCTCAGTCATGCCTATTTGAACCTTTATGTTTTATTAGACTCTTGGGGCACAGTATTGCTGGTGGCACTAAGGCAGCCCCCCTTCCAAATAAGCACAACCTGGCTTGTTTGGTCCAGCACACTTGGAGCACATTATGCCATGAAGGAGCAAAGCATCTTTTTTACATCTGCTGTTCACACCTACCTGCCACAGAGCTTTGGGACACAGCGAAGGTCTATAGCACAATTTAACACAGTTGTCAGCAGCATCTTTGTTGGAAGAGACTGCACGGAGGGGTAAAGGAAGAGTGCACCACAATGGATTTACCACAGACGGGCAGACACGCATGTTCTGTACAATACCATATATGCACATATTCATTATGAATAGTTTGCAGTGAGGGGCAGGACTTTGATAACTAGAGGACAGAGGGACTTTTGTGACATCCCAGCTGAGCTACTTCACACATGCACCATCACTCCTGTAGCGAGGGGAGATGCAAGTTGCTGACACCACAGGGAGGAATGTGGGAAATTGTGTGCTTCTGCACTCAGTTACACAAGATTACTGAAGCGAAAGCTGACACATTGTGAATCTACAGGAGAAAAATGTGGCTTGGTGTCTATTTTCCCCATCCCCAGACTGCGTGCCACTACTCTGTGCAGACTGTGAAGGCGTTCACACTCAGCCTCCACATGCCATTGAAATCAAACGTGAGCAGATAAGTGATCATGCCACCTGACGGGGAGACCGGAGAACCCCCAGTGGTACTCAGCCTTGTTCCAAAAGTCCTTGGGGAACCAGGCTTCTCGGGCTCTTCCATGCATGGACATCATCAGGATTAAGGTAGGAGGGTAAAGAAACAGTGTCTGTGAAATTAAGTTACAGGGCAGTTCTTTCCTACTGCACTACTTGTCTCCCAAGGTAAATATCAGCACTCCTTCCACCTGATCTGAGAGTTCAAGGTCTGGATCTGTTCTTCCCAACTCAGGAGAGAAGAATTCAGATGGCAGCAGCACCCCTCTAACCCATTTTACCCTGTAGAGTTCAAGCAAATGCTCACTCACCCCTCTTCTGCATAAAGATGAAGAGGTCATCCAGGAACTCTTTCCGTTCAGGGTCACTATCCAGTTCATAGAGCTGGGGGAAAAAAATAAATGTGAAGGCACAACCCACAACAAGACAGGAAATAAAGGAATAATATTAGCTTCTTCCACTGGGTGACCTGGTGTCTGTACTGGAGGGGTGAAAGGCAGCCACAGCAAAACCAGGAAGGATTCCTGAGCAATTTGGCAGAGAAGGCAGCAGTGAGAGTTTGAGGACCCTCGCTATGGCTTGCCTTGCTCAGCCCCTCAGTAACTCAGCCAGGCACAGCAGAGACTGGCACCCTGAAGGGAACAGGATTCAACTCGGTTAACAGCACTGCTACAGAGCAGGGTTTGAAACCACCTGGAAGCAAAGGGGAAAGAGGCTATTAAGACAAGCTGGAAAGAAAGAGGAGAACCAAAATGTGACAGTGGTTCAGGGCAGATTAGCAGTCTGCACCTTTGAGGCACCAGGGAGGTAAACTTCTCTGCTGCTTCTCCTAGCCTCATCATTCCCTCCTTCAGGGATTGTCACATAAGTGACAAACTCCAAGTCCCTTGAAGGAGGAGATGAAAGGCTAGAGCTTTCCTGTAACTACTAATGCCTGGCAGGAGAGGCTCCTCTAAAATAAGCCAAAAAGCCTTCAAAAATATCAGAAACCAGCCCAAAACCGATTTGCTGCAGAAATAATTTTACCAACAGGCTTAGAAACCCAAGCATTTATAAGTTCCATAGGCAGCTTATTCCAAAGGAGAGGCACTGCATGCTAGCATTATCCACCGATTTTTCAGAAGGGGCAGGCATGAATGTCATCTTACAGCTACCTCGTGAACAGAAAAATCTAATTTTCACCTATCAAGAATCCTGTGAGGCCACGAAGTGACAGGCTGAAAGGGCTGAAGTCAGTCTGTCACTGAGATACACGGTACAGAACAAGACAGAAGACAACGCTGTACATTAATTCAATTCCTTCTCTCATCTGCACTGAGGAAGAGCCCTACATCATTCCAGGGATTTTTTTTTTTGCTGGTTGTTAGCTAGTCTTGTGAGGCAGCTCGTCAGAAAAGCAAAGATACACTGGGAAATATATATTTCAGCTTCTCTGAGGGTGCTGTTAGCTATTTGGTATTCATCTAGTCCAAAAGAAGAGGGGCTTTTTAGGCTCATTTCCTGTGAAGCTCTGTACTTTCTCACACACTGAGCTCTGGGAAGAAAACACACTAGTGTATTTGCAGAGCAATTAGCTGCGCCCTTTCAGAAAGAGCCAGCTTAGGTTAAAATTAATTCCTCTGGCTGATGTGACACACAGCTGCCACATTCAAATCCACAACCACAGTCGTGGACCTAATCAGGTTCAAGAAACAAAATACTCTTCTCCCAGCTGGACAAAGTATTGACTAAGATTTTAAATGTAAAAAATCTGGTTATTAAGTCTTAGTTCTAACTATATTCCAGTGACAAAAGTAACAAAAGAGCCCAACAAAATATCAGGTTTGTAGGTGGAGGGCTGTGGGACAAAGCAATTTTCTTGGAAATTCTCTACAGAGGAATAGTGAGGGCTCTGTAGTCATCCTCTGTCACAGATCACGGGAAGAATTCCCTGAAGTTACCCCTTCCCCAAAATCCCCATGATCAGACTGACCTTGGCAAAGTCTCGTGAAATTTCTCTTCCTCGGCATCCATCACCTTCATCACTCCAGGCCACGTTGCCATTCTAGGGAGAGAGAAATGAAAGGGTGAAAGGATCACCAGGGAAAGGCTTTGTGGACAGTTCCAGAAAGCCTGCTAATGTGCATTTAGGGGCACAAACACATGCGAAAGCAGCTGCTGGCTTAGACCAAGAATACTAGGAAGATGGGGGATGTCTGCATTTGTCACAGCACACTTTCCAGGAATCTCTGACACTCAGCCCAAAATGGGAAGTGACATTTCACCTTTCAGGCAACTACTGAAGGCAGGGAAAGTTTTTCAGCTCAAAGATTGTTCCCACAGAAGTGTACATCAAAAAAGCTTCTCTAGATGCCATTGGAAAGTCCTCAACACCTTCAACAACTGCTTTCCTCCATCTGCTACACTGAAGTATGCTAAGAGCCCTGAAGCAAGTGCTTTGCTGTAATGAGGTCCAACACCTCAACTGAGGTCCTGCTTTTGCTCTCATGTCCATCTTTTTACCAAGTGCACATCCTAGAGCCGCTGGTGAAAGGTGCAGGTGTTGCCCAGGCATCCTTCCGTTCTGCTCATCACGTGACACCGAGCCCTTGGAAATGCCATTCTGCCCTCCCCTGCTTGCCTACAAAACCAAAGCATACCAAAGAAAGAGGGAAATAATCCCACTGGAAAGCTTCTTGTCAGCCCAGGACCCTTACTCCTGGAAGCACGCGGCTCTGGATTTTCCCCACAGAAATGGAAAGCTCAGCTTTGCTGGATTAAGGCTCATTCTTCTTAGGCATTAAAAGGATTACTGTAGTTAGGCCTACTCCACATCGTCCTGACATGATCACCAGGGCTGGAAACCACCAGTGGCAGCCTCTAGCTGTACAGCAGGACCAAGACCAGAAGAATGATTCTGAAGAACAGTTCAAGCATCTTTAAACCATAACCTCCTAAAGCTCCAGCAAATCAAGTGCTCCAGAACCTCTCAAGGCAAGAGAACAGCCAAATCCACCCACAGAGGTAGCTTGGACTACCCTGTCCTGCCAAGCACCCAGCACCCTAACTCAGACAGGAAAGCACTGAAGACAGCAAGACTTCAGCATGCAAAAAAACCATGTGAATTAGAGAGGTGGTCCAGTATCTGAAATCTTGGAGTCATCTGGTTGTGACACATACATTGAATTAGAAAGATGAATAGCTCTTGTCAAGGCCAGGCAAAGCTACATTTCCCCCTTTAAAAAAACACTGCGGCAAGCTGCCCTAATGCCTGCTGATTTAGTTTGAGCCAGTAATTCAAAAATTATCCAGTGAGTCCCATCAACTGAAAGATATTTAATGGGGGATTATTGCCACTTCTGTTATGTCAGCTGTTTATTACAGCAGATCAATTCCCAGCCCTCTCTAGGAAGAGATCTGAAGAATGGTTTTGTTCACAGGAGGATTCATCAGGGTGTCCTTTGCTAGCAGAGATTAAAACCAGGGTTCTTTGCTAATTACGGTAACATCCAGCTGCTCCTAAAACCCCACTGATTGTTAACTCAGGTCAACAAACCTCTGTGAACAGTCAGAATAAGAGACAAACCAGTCTCTTCAGAAGGCAGCAATTTCCCATCCTCAGCTTTACACACTCCAAGGCAAAATGGTCTCCAAGAGGGCTGAGCTAATTTCTTCTCAAGTTTGTACTTGGTTATAAATCCAGAGAGCAAACCTGCTCATGCTATTAAACTGGGTGCTCCAGGAAGCAAAACACTTGCTTTCATAGAGCACTTTGGTCATGCTGAGAGCTTATTCTGCTACATTTGAGGACAGGGGCAGGAAAGAGGAGGCTTAAAGGAGACACAGTGCTCTACCGCCAGTGGGTTTGAAGTTGATAAAATTTCCAGGAACAAAAACTTCCATGGGATTAAAGATTCTTTAGAAGTTATTTTAGTTGTTTTCTTTGAAGAAAAAAGATAATTGGGAAAAATAATTAAGGTTTGATACAGAGAAAAAACCCCAATGTATGCACCCTGCTTCCCATACCTGCATCCCAAGATATTCGAGAGCCCAGAAGTAACAGCCCCCCACACCTCACTGGTGAAAAGGCGCTTAAAGCTAGCTGGAGCCATCTGTATTTTGCCATATGTCCAGAAAATTGGCAGAGCCGGGTATCACCTGGCATGACACGGAGTGATCCGAGGTGAGAGACAGCGGACAGTATTAGCATTTCCTCCTCTGATAGCTGGAAAGGTTTAAAGCCAGTTACCACTCCCCACATTAAGCTATCAGAAGAGATAAGGAGAGTGCTTCTCATCCCCCCTTGGCGCAAGCAGCAGCGGCCACGGTGTCAATCAGCAAGGGTGCACTGAAACGACACACGAGCTGCGGAGACAGGAGGACAGAGCACAGGTTTGTTTTGGGTAGGGGAGTTAGACTCTCGGGCTAGCACGAAGGGTCAGCTCAGCAGCCGGGGAATAAAGCCTTATTTACTCAGAGGGCAGAGTACAAGCACCGACAGGCATTTTTCCCAGGCCTCAGCTTTGATCTTGAGGGACTGTTCTGCTCACCAAAACACCAGAGTCCACGCCAAGGCTACAACCAAAGACAGCGAACACCGGCAGCGGTCAACAGCGACTCGAGCACAACCGCAACAGGTAAATCAGTGAAGAGCACCACGAAGCTACTGAAGCCAGAGGTGCCCCGTAGGCAGAATAAACTACATTCTACACAGCAAGAGAGCTCGGTGGGAGCTTTGGTATCAAGCTTCCTTCCCATTCCTCCTAGGAAAACAAAGTTACCCTATGCTGAGAAGCCCTCCTCCGTATGAGCAGCAGGAACCTGAGAAATCAATATATCCTCGCAAGTCATTAAAAGACCTTTGTATAAGTCAGGCAATAGCAGCAGGAAGGAAAAAACACTGTTCAGAGAGGCAGGTCATTCTCAGGGGAGAGTCCTGCCTCTCCCTCCACCCATTTGTATCAGGGGAACTTGCTGATGTTTGACAAACAACCCTCGTGTTACCACAGGCAAGAATTTATCTGGTTTCTTGCAGAAAGGCGGTACAAGTGGCACTGGCTGTGCCTGAGGACCTGATGTGAAGGCCGAGAGAAGGCAGAGGTGTTGAGAAGGGTTGACCACCTCTGAGAGCTGCTGGCAGGGCCTTCCCCGCGCTGCAGACACCTCCGAGGCCATGGGAACCCCCCCGGACCGCCCCCTCCCCGAGAGGCTGGGGGCCTGGCTTCAGAAGCAATTATATCTGGAGCTATTTTAGGATTACTCCCTAACCACCTGGAATATCTTATTAGAGGGAAGCTCAGATGTCCAGAGCAATTTTGGTTTCCAATCCCACATTCAAAAGCCAGATTTAACCCTGAGTTGCCAAGCAGAGTGCAAAGGAGATAAACACTTTCCTGCCTCATCCAGCCCATTCTTTTGAGGACAAAAACTTTACAAACAAGCAGCCTCAATTCCTCCCTGCAGGACAACCACCTCTCAAATATCTCGCACGTCTGCCCCTCCCAGAGGCTAGGGAGCTAATCAAAACTCAGTGCTCAATAAAAACAGTGAAGTATTAAGGCAAACAGAACAGCAGCTCATCATCTCCAGTTTTACCCACACAAACTGCAGTTAGTGTGCAAACAGGGGCACTGATGAGAAACTGGAAATGCTCCTTTTCCAGGTCATTCCCTTCCCTCTCACCCCAGTTTCATACAGCTGTTTGAGAGGGGCTCAACTCAAGCCCAATGAAGTTTTACCAGACTACAAAGTTGTACTCAAAGGGCAAACTCTGAACTGGAAAGAACCCACTGAAGCTTTAATGTGCAAAAGAAAACAGAAAGTTGCTGGCATGAAAATCAGTTCTGCACCTCCAGTTCTGACAGGTTTTAGGCCAGAAATGTGCTGAAATATCCACTTAGGGACAAGGCTAGATGTTGCAGTGAAGAAAAAAAGCCCCTCCCCTACCCCATGGGTTAACTGAAAGCACCGACTCAATGAAAAGGTACAGGGGCAGCAATTTCAGGATTATCAGAGAATCCACAGAAATTCCTTTTGTGGGCAGAGTTAAGCCTTAGGAAGTGAAACAGATGCTGTTATAAAGAAAACTGTTGTACTACAAAACGCTGATAAGATCAGGACTACTGCCCTGAGCTGCAAGTTCTCAAGCATGGAGAACCAAGTTATAATTACTGCATGCACAAGCTGCCTGGTAAAGCTCTGCTGAAACTGGAATAAACCCTTCCCAGTCTTACTAATAACAGAGCTCAATTCAGTATCTACAAGCTTCAAAGACAGGGTTTGAAAACATTTTAGTGATTTCAGGAATGGCAGGGAGGATGAGGAAGGGAATAAAAAGAACGGACTGAAGTTAACAGATTAATTACCTTTTTCTATTAAGTTTTTTATGTGCTCCCATGACCTAGTGACTGCAGCACCAACACAATTCTTTGCAAAACAGGAATTTGCTTCCTTATCCTTACGGAAAAGTTGGACTCTTTGTGAACAACTCCTATTCACAAATACTCAGAGGAATTAACTAAAATGTGACATGAAGACTTGCTCTGTGCTACATGGCTGTGGGAAGAGAAATTCACACTGCCACATGAGTGTCTTGGATTTACCCTGAAGTGAGAAAAAGCGAAGTGTAAGAATACAACACAGTCACGCTCTTTCCACCTACTGTCTCCAGCGTTAGCTAGAATTTCTATAAATTGGCACTGAAGGAGACAAGCTGCAACTATTCCTAAAGATAAATTTAGCACCCGAACAAATCCTAAAATGAGCCGTATCTTCCCCAGGATAGAAACGAGCTCCTCACACTGCGCCTTTGCTCTGCCTCCAGATATAGCACAGTCACTGCAATGGAACACAGCCTTGTCGAAGCCTATGGAAGTGCTGCTTGAGATAAAGATCTGGGCAATTCTGATGTCTAAAGCAAGTCATTTGCAGGCTGCTGCCTACAGTCGCTATCACGAATGGACTCTTGGTTCTCTTCTCCCACACGTTATTTGGTATATTGAAGAGGTGACTTGGTTGCTCCAACCGCTGATGCTGCGCTTTAAGTTACGTACCAGTATGAATACCAAGATACGTGCTACAGCAGACACAGACTCTCACAGGGATAAAGATTTAAAACAAACCTAAACCATGAATTTCAGGAGAAGCAGCAATTGGCAATTTAAGAAGTAAAATCTGTTCTTATGGAATTCAGTAGGAGCAAACAAATATCTAATATCAGCTATTAATGAAGAATTCTCCTCCCACTACATTATAAAAAGAAAAATACCCAGTGACCCACATAAGGAATTAAAAATACAACCCTTGAATCAGGCCCTGGATATCGGAAATAACCAGGAATCAAAAAAATGCAGTGTGAAATGCAATTTCTTTATTCCTGGGACCTTCACCTCCTCTGGAGTAATGAGTATCTCCTGAGCAATACCTCACCATACACACCACTCGAGGCACATACTTAAGGTTATGGAATCTCAGCCACTCATTCCTAGACCCTAGAGCAAAAGCAAAGTAATTATTTTAAGCTGACTTATCTTAATAAACACCATGACCTTTGTAAAAGTTTAGATCAGGATTTTCAGGAGTGACTGGTGATTTCTGAGAATCTAACATGAGACAACCCAAAAACCAGACCACAAACCACTCTGAAAGTCAGATGGTTGCTTTATGGAGACTTACCTTGCTGCGTTTAAGAAGGCATTAAGTGTCAGCTGATGCCTGAAAACCTTGGCTTTATTTTTACATTCCACGGAGGAATGCACGCTCTAACCCACGTGCGGCAGTAACAGCTCGGCAAAACTGCTCACGCTAGTGCCACGCACCAGCCTCGAGTGGGAAAGGAGCAAGCGGCACGGGCAAGGCGGTGGCTGTAGCCCTGCCTTTCCCACTCAGCTCTCCCTGGTAACCAGAGACATCGCCAAGCCATGCAAGAACCCACGGGAGGAGGACCTGCACCCAACCATCTGCTAAAAGCAACATTTTCACTCGCAGAATTAAAAACTCATTTTTCTTCAAAGACAGGCAGCCCACAACACCCTTTTTGAGGATGGCTGTGGGAGCCTTCGGCTGTCGGAGCCGTGATGGATTTGCAGGGGATTTGAGCAAGTCCGAGGAGCAAGCGAGCTGAGCGCACAACCCCCCCCCAGCTCTTCTTTTGGGACTGCAACTCCCTGACAAGCAGCTCCACTCCCTTGTTGTTTTGTGCTGACAGGATTCCCACCGCCCCTGTGTCATAAGCTGAGCCAGCTCTTTTGTCTGCCGCTTGTTCTACAATTATTTACTTGGCCAGCCGGGACCGAACAGAACAGGGCTTCATATTGCTGGTAGTTTCCGTCCTTCTGCCATCTTCATGCCACATACCTTCCAGGCAATCTTAGCCTTGTGCTTTCAAGATACATTTTTCTCTAAGGGTGTCACAATCCACACACGAAAGAAGAAATAGAAGCAACTTTTTCCCCTTCTTCTGCAAGCAACAGCCATTACGCATACCACAGATACTCGCAGAGCTAGCTGGAAGCAGTGTATACTGACTGATTATTAGCCTCCATCTCAACAGGAGCTAAAAAAAAAAAGACAAGTTCAGGAATCATTTCGAAACAAACTGGGGAACACAGGCACTTCTGCATTTGATCCTGGGGTTTTTTTTAAATCCCTTTTAGGCAAATACAAAAGAAAGCCTGGTATCTGGAGGGGGAAAAAAAAAACCAAACAAGCCAGGCTCACACTGGGGCAGTATGTTACCACTTGGCATACACGTCCCCCCCACGTTGCTGTCATGCCAGCTAACAGTTCCTGCCTGGGCTCCCCTCCCTGTTTATTCCCACCTCCATGCAGCCCCCACTCCCCAGCTCTGAGCTGGTATACCGCAGTTAAATTTTTACTCCCTGGTATGCAGGCTCCGCTAGTGAATGCAAACAAGTTGATCTGCAATATTTACCCTACTCAAGGTGAATATACTGCACCAGCATCACTAATACGGGGCACCTCAATATGGCCTTTCCAGCACACCACCTTAGTGGCATCCCTACGAACATAAGCCATGCCTCACTGGGGCAGACCATAGCCCAGTACTCCAATGACAGTACCAGGAGACAGTATTCCAGGACTACATGTGAACCTACCCGCTTTCTGCCACACTTTCCCACCATCCAGAACAGCTGTAGCACAGCACACCCCTGACATGGCTTTACAATCCATTCCTTGACCTCCACGGACTTCTCCAATTCCTTCCTTTACTGCAGCACTGCCTGCCCCCCCCCCC